CTACTACTACTACTACTACTGACCGGTACTCCTGCCTGTATTAAGCACAGAACCGAAAACAGCCAAAATCTGTTGTGCCCAGGGTTGAGGGCGCAAGCGTGGCTCAAGGCGCACCCTCCAACTTCCACCAATTCCCCATTCCTTTTGCATGACAGTTGTTTGGAAACCCACCCAAATTCCCTGCCGCTCCCTGCACGAAAACTTAAAAATAAAGCATCAAATCGGATTCTGAACTTGCTTGTTTCCGGCTAGAAGGCCTGGTTTATCAAGGCTACAAGGTGGGAATGCGTTTTAAACCGTGCACGCGCAAAAGAGCGCAAGGGCGAAGCATGGCGAAGCGGAGCCATAACAAAAAACAACCACAAGCTCTGGACTCAAACTTCGAAATCCACCTACTTCAAAGAACATCTCCTGCAAGAGAAGGGTGACGACTCCTTAACGCACTGGCTCTGCATGGACTACACGTACACAAGTGTGATGTTGTAATGCTGCTAATGTACATGGTCATGGTATTTGTAATATCACGAGAAATGGTAGTCTGAATGGGGTTTGCTTGCACGTGCAACGTATCCGGCTTCTGCTTTTCCTTCGCACGTGCTTTGATGAGGGTCTATGGATGACATTGGATGATTGACCGCGACGACGAAGATGACGACAACGGTGGATGCACACATTGCTTCAAAAAAACTCGATTTTCGAACGACTTAAGGCTGGCAGCCGCCGTGGTAGCAAGGGTTCCGCAGTACAGAAAGCCCGTGCGAGTCTCGAAGTTAACAGCGCAGAGGCACCGAGTCTCGGAGCCAAAGCCTGGCAAACAGATCTGCCGAGGCACGGCCTCTCCTGTGCCAACATCCTCCAGTCGAAGTGCACGAAGGCTTGTCGTGCTTTCAAGATCGTTGCATTGATGTTGGATTGATTATGCATGGGCCAGGGGCTTGTTATTGTACCTTCAGTGAAGGGATTAGATTGCTGGCTGGCGTGCCTAGACCATTCTCCTTGGGGCGCTCGTTGTTGCGGTCTCGATCCAGCCGTGCTGGGGTGTTTTTGTAACCTTCCAAAATTTGCTCTTTGGGGTGCTCCTGCCAAAGTGCCGCGCATGTTAAGTGCACTCGGGTTCCCGCCCGTCCTGTGCATGTCCGCCTGCCCGAAATCGTGCTTCCACCTGCCTAAGTCGTGCTCCCGTCGCGGTCCAGTGTGTGCTCCTGCCACGTTGCCTTGAGTTTTCATGGTGGATGCTGCTGGAATGATTCTTGGGACGGACAACCGTGCATGCCGAGGGCACTGTAGGCGATAAAGGGTGTTGACAATGGGGTCTCGGGGTTTTGGAAGTGGCTCCACGGATCTATACATTCACGGCCTCACATTTGCAACAGTAGGCGCAGCAGCAGCAGTAGCACGACAGTAGCAGAAGGAGTGGTAGCACTAGTAGCGGCAGCAAAAGCAGCAGTTAGATCAGAGAACCAGTAACCGGTGCAGCAACAGCAAAACGGCACGTAGTAACTTAAATATCTTAAATGGTGAGCACAGTGTGCTGTGGACTACGGCTGGTAATCTCTGAGCAGAACAAGTGTAGCAAGGTCACGAACAGCACGATTGATCCCGCATGGTCTAAGTCGTCCTCCCATGTCGGCAATTGCATACTTGCAACCATCAGATGGCAGGTATCTGCATTTTCTCTCCATTTTGAGAACTAACCCATCGTGGTTTCGATTTTTGTTCTGGAATGACTCTAGTTCATGTGATTCAGAGTGGTTCCCTGATCGGCAAAACCCGAAGCCCGAAACCCAAACCCTCTCCCCTCTCTTCCCCTGCACACAGACTAGTAATACAAACCTCATGGAACACATGCCTCGACTCCCCCTAAGCCCTAACTACGGCCCTAAGGTCCTCGCCCGAATATTGCAGGAACCTGCCCTTGCGCAGCGGCTTTTCACCGAGAAGCGGCCCGAGCTGGAGGCTTCGGTGTAAAGTCGAAAAAAAATTTGAGAGAAAAGCGCTAACGACCTAAAGGAGTTGGATGCCTTTCGGATCTCAGGCCGAGGCCCCTTATGAGGGCGGTCTTACTTTTAGTGTTTATAGATACATCATTGCAGTGTCTCTTGTTCTGAAACTTCCATCTGTGTGCCTAGGGTTCAGGAAGGATTATCGGCATTTTGGTGGTGGGGTTATTGCGAGTTTTGGGTTCAAGACTTGTTAGGGTTACGGCTGCTGGGTTTACGACGCAAGGCTTCGAGGCCTCAAGGTCGAAACAGCGCTGTTGCTCTTCAACATGAAGCTTGTTAGGTCAAGGCCAAACACATTAAATTATCGACACCGACTTCCTGGGTCCCGTTTAGAAGGACCCCTAAAACGGAAGCCTTGTTGCGACGCATATTAGCGTGATATCGGGTATCTCCCATGATGAGTGTGTACGCGGTTGTGGCAAGCCATGGTTTAGGAAATGTGCTCCATAGTTATTATGGCGGCCGCCAATCAATATGTCAATCCTCCAAAACAGTAATCACCTCACAGGTCATCTGCTGAAGAAAACAGAGGTGTGGACATTGAATGTATTTGTTCTGTTCACCGAGGTTTGACAGTGTACAGGGTTTAGGGCATGAAGGTTGAGCATGGAGTACAGCATGGCGGCTGACAAGCCCTCTTGTGAGAATGGAAACAGCTGTGGCAGACAAGTGCAGAATTTTTGTTTCCCAGGGCCTGGCCAAAAAGCAGAGACTGCGCCTGGCACATAGAAATTTCTAAACGTGAGGCATTCGGGATCCTTGTCTCTACCTGCTTATTTCCGAAATATTACAACTGTTAGACACCAACGCCCGAGCTTCATCCCCCCTTGTGTAAGTGGAGTGGAGGCAGCAGTCCGACGCCACTTCGCCGTGCGCGGCGCACTCAACGGGGGCGCCGCCGAGGAGTTGCTTGGCACTGCAGGAAGCTGACAGTACTGTACCCGTCCAGAAGCTCCAGCAAGCCTTTGCTTTGGCAAGAAGATTTGCGATCTCGCAATCGCAACATGCTCGTCATGGAGTGGATTTGTATTTAGTAGTGCCTGAGTTTGTTGGGCTTTGGAATGCGATGTGCCTTGTCAGCAAGGTGACTTGAGGGGTAGATAGTGGGTGATCCTTCTTTTCTAACTGACAGTTGAATCGTTTCAAGATCTTCGTCATCCCGTTACCAAATCTGCTTCCACCATGCGGCGGCGTCTCGAGTCTTACACTTGGCCACGAGCTGGCTTTCTCCCGGGTTTTTTTCCCGCGGTACCGGCCTTGCATCTCAGGTTCCGGTGTGGGCTATCCTAGAGCGCTTAAACCTAACATGAAACACCCCCTCTCAAAGGGACTACTTGTAGCGACTATTTTGTTTGTGTGTGACATCTTTTCGGCTTTCGTGTTAGTGTCACGAATGGTAAGCTTAGTTCTTGTTGCGGTCATGGTGTTGCTTCGAATCTGCGTCATGGCTCACAGCAATGACAGTTCTTACACCTTGGGCTGATAGCAGATCCAACACAGAGCCGCATCCTTGCATGACAGATGTGGCCGATGTGGTTCATTGGTTAGCTCCTATGCTAAGCCAATGAAAAGATTCCGAATGGTAGACTGTGTATACTCGCTTTTTGCATCTTAAACCCCTGGACTCTGGCCCGCCCAACTTAGCAGCTGTGAAGGGTGCTCAACACGCCCCAAGAGCTTATGGCGGCACAATCTGGAAACAAGGGGGAGCCATTGCTGGTCGTCCATACTCACCGGCAGGAGCTGCTGAAAATTCACGCGCCAGAACACCCGGAACCCAACATTCCTTCGGGCTTAGGATGCCCCGAGATGCAGACGCTTGCAACAGCCTTGCGATGCCTGACCTTGTATGTTGGCTCCTGCAAGTGAGCTTCCGACTCTGGAGGAGCTTCGAGCAGTGGGGCTTCTTGCACTGCCGGTGATCATCTTCTCGTTGGCGGGCTTTGTACCCTCGTGGCTACAGTTCTTTACCGTGGGGCAGCTACACCTCGATCCGTGGTTCGAGGTGGCAGTTTCTGAAAGCGGGTTTTAGGGCCGGAACTAAGGTTGGGTTGTGGCAAGTGGGACAAGCTAGACCCCGACCGTTTGGGGCTTGTGGTAGGGATCCGTTGCCTTGAGCTTCCCAGGTAGGGCTTCCAATCGCAGTGCCTTGGTCCATCTTGCAGTCTCATGCCGAGATGGCTACTCTTTGGGGAATACTGGCGATTGCCCAAACTCTGCTGGGCATGGGACTTTTGCCACAGGTTCCCAGCCAGGTGGGGGGATTTGTGTAATTGGGAGCTGCCCCTCATGATCTTCACAATGCGTAACGCGTAATTAAGGATGCTGGTTCCAAGTTCCCAGGTGCACCGCGTTCTCGGATACTTCCTGATCTTTCTGGGAGTTCTGGCCTTCGGAAGCGGCAGCCTCCTGGAGATCCTCGAGTATGGTGGGTGCCCTACATGGCCTCTGGGACTCATTTCATATTTCTACAGCAAGCACATGCAAGCACTATTTTCTATAAGAGCATGCGGTGTCCCTGGTTTTCTTTTGTATCCGACCTCCGCATCAACCCCATGCAGGCTACATCTCTTGGGAGGGGTGATGATCTTCCTGCACTTCGGCTTGCTTCTCCACTTCGCACGTGCAAAGCAGCGAAAGGAACATGCTTTTACCGTCCTGTCGATGCTGTTCTGGACTTTGTACCCTGGATGGGCACGGATTGTTGGGTTCTTCATTGAACTCCACTTTGGCATTCCATGCGGCTTACACGCCTGGGCTGGGTACGAGTTCATTGCAGCTTCTTCTTGTTCATTGGCCTTGCTCCTGCTCGCCTTGCGGGAGTCCCGCAGTTCTGGGATTCAGATTGCACCACAGAGGCCATCTCTGAACGCTCCGTCGGTGCTTCTGACGAGCAGCATGGTTTTCTTTGCGTATGCAGCGGTAGATCTGATCCATGCATGCCTGTCGCACGCTTTCCTGCGGTGTCCAAGATGATGTCTGCTTGGGGCACCATCAACTAGGGGATACACGTCCAAGAAGCCGCATAGCTTGGAACAGAGACAGCAGGTAGGCTCGGCAAGGAGAGCTATACAGGAGCCCTGCAAGGGTTTACAAGGTATCTTGATGGGGAGCATTCTGTCAAGTTGTGTCAGTGCTGGGTGCTCCATCTAATAATTATACTGTTGTGGTCAAGAGCATCGTCACCCCTGCCGCTAGCAAAAATTGAATCCGACGCTATTGCCATCACGTTCTTAGTGGAGGTCTTGCTTTCCCGGAGATGCCATGGTTTTGTCCAGGTTTGCCCAAAGGACGTCGGGTAGGTGACTCCTTTCCACCAAATTGCTCATTCCACGGGATGTTAGGAAGTGAAGCCATGAGCGCAATCGCATGGCATGGGCGGTACGCCACCGTAGGCTAAAGCTGGGAGCTTGGGCTATGTTAATCGCCGTAGGTCTGAATGTGCTTTCTTTTTGGAGTGGCGGGGGCATGGGGGTCAGAGGAGTTGCGCGCCCATGTACAGAAGCACGAGCAGCCGAGCGGTAGCCTTCCGTCCGCACAGCAACATGCCGAGTCACTTGAGGCTGCGGCTGGGTCACAACTTCAGCCAAGAGGCCTACATTGATGACTCCTGTCCGCACTGGCGCACTGAACATGCTGTCTTGTGTCTGGCTAAAGCACAAGGCTTCGCCTTCAGTCAAGAGACAGTGGAGAGTCTAGCTGCTAGCCCATCAAGCCTGCTGCCCACGCTTTTCCGAAACGCGTGCTGAATAGGAACTTTCGTATGACAAAGAGACGACAGCATGGTGACGTTTATATACACGCCATCATTATCATGATCGTAGTCTTATCATATTCATAGTCACCAGCGGCACTAGCAAACGTAAGGAAAACAAGGCACAGCCCCATTCCCAGGACGACTACCAAATCCACTCTGCCGGGCCAGACAGTTTCACAGGCACGGGATTGTGGAAGAGTCTTTAGAAGACTCAGGGCTTCAGGGCTGTAGAATGTAAGGGTTGCGGTGTAGGTGTAGTATCCAGTGTACTTCAAAGGACATTGCATGGCTGCAGCAGGTTGGGTGCATGCAGTTACCTTGATCTTGACTGGCCCCTTCACGTGGTGTTCGCAGTCGCAGCTGCTTGCTCTGACTTTTTGTCTGGACCGTTTGGGGACCCAGGTAGAGCAGGCGGCATTACAGCATACTGGGTTTGGAAGCTGTGAATGCTGTATCAGGTGCAGTGCACCCGGTGTGTCATAGCCGCGAGAAAGTAGATGTGAAATGCAGCAGCAAGCCGCAACAACTACCTGTCGCGGTCACTTCAAGATGCCGATGACCTTGCACGCGAGTCCCTAACTCCCAAAATCCTCCAAAGCAGGCTTGATTCCCTTGGCGCGGGGTCGGGGCGAGTTGTGTGACTGAGTTTCGAGTTGTCACTTCGACCCAGAACCCCCTAAAAAACACAGGCTTTTATGAGATCCACAACGAGGCTGGCGATCCGGCCAAGGCACCCAAGCTGCGGCTTGGCAAGGAAAGCCGAGAAGCTGCAGAATTCGAAACCTCTGCATTTCCACTTCGTATACGGCTTTCTCGGACCACGGCTTTCTCGGACCGACTGCAAGCACAGGAACTAAAAGCGAAATGAGCGCTACAGCGTGATGGCCCGAGGTGCACCGCACGTATTCGTCGTTTCCGCTCTGACGGCGAACTGCACTCCTGGATGGGCAAGAAGAGCAAGAAATGCCTGCAAAGCTGCAAGGCTCGGAAGCCGAAGTTCATCTTGGGCCGGGAAGACTTTAGTTACGAAGCACAGATCGAGTTGTGGGACTGGGTTCAACGATGGTACAGTTGCAAAGCTGAGCAGCCCTCAATTCTAGCCGTAACCAATACGCGCTGAACTCGAAACTCTAGACGCAGTGTTGACTTCTGGATCAAACGGTCCGCGGGTTCTGGCCACTCCGATGGTTTAAAGCTGTCGCAAGCTCCTGGATGGTTACGAACTTATAAAGAGGGCGAGGGGTAGGACGCAGCTAGGGGGGGCGCTGAATCTGCGTGAATTCGGGCTTCGATGCTGGCACAAAGCGCCCAGGCAGAAGCCTGCTGTGGAGGCATCATCCCACTGCATGGTCTCTACCAAGACCCCTTTCTTACGGACTGTGCGGCATCTTCGCTGTTGCTAGAATGACCTGTTCTTCATTTGGAAGGTTAGCTACAGGTCCTGCCAAAGAAAGGAGTCGCCTTTCCTCCGCAACCATCTGAGCCAGTAAGGCATATCAGTCCCAGGCGGCGGGGCTGCAGCTTCTTTCACATCTAGCAGAGATTGGGCAGCCAAAGCTGGATCTGGTCGGTTCAAGCAATCTCATGCGGGCTATGGAGACGGCGTACAACATGTTCTTCTTGGGCCCGAAAGGCAAGCCGCAGTTGCAAGCTTTGGTGCCAAATGCCCTGGTACCTGTACCTTACATGATTCTTGGCCGATCGTGAATTTGTTGAACTTTCGTCAACTTTGGCATCACATCTTCATAAGAAGTGTCGAGGCTTGCAGTTCGCAAAGGGCTGCGAAGAACAGCCCAGGATTGAGAAGCATCACGGAGAGCATGGCTTCGTGCAGATGGACAACCTTCCATTTCCATCAGCACAGCAGCTGGACATGTTGCAGTCCCGGCACGGCAAGAATTTCACCGATCTGATTGACGCCGCTTTTGAGCACCGTGGCTATCCACGCGAGGAGCAGCAATGGGAGAAGTTTAAAGCATTGCTCGCGAGTCTCGCTTGCACAAAGCTTTCGGGATCGCCTTCAGATGTTGTCGTTCTAGAACTTCAAGGTATTTGTGCGAAGGCATCTCGACATGGTGAGGATAGTCTTCATGCAATTTTCGGTAATGCCTTCCGCATTTATCCGATTCAAGGAATTCCAGGCCATGACACGCATCTGACACTTTGATAACTCCCCAAGGTTTCGGCAAGTCAAGAGAGATCCACTACTCAGCTCAATCATAGTGCTGGCAAAGCCTATAAACATCGGCAACAGCAAGAACAGGAGCGGAGTGTATCAGTAATCAGAAACGTGGGTAAGCCTGGGTAAGCTAGGGGTCGACACTTCGGGCTGCCGCAGGACCTACAGGAGGGTTGGGGAAAGGTTGCAGCAGTCTGAAGCTGCGTCAGACTAGAGTCACTACAGAGTTTCCTTCACCTTCAGGTGGCTTGCTGCACTGCATCCAAGGTTGGCAGGCTGATAGACTAATAGCCACTATAGGAATCTACGATTCGAGGGTGTTTGTATGAGCTTTCGGCACTCGCAGAATGTAGCGTTAAACTTATGGAGCTCGAAATTGTTGCCCGATGCGCTGCCGCGCATCTGGGACATCGCTTTCAACTTTGCATTGCCGTGCTTATACAATGTGCTGGACATGCCAGCAGCACGGTTCCCCATGCAGCTTTTCATCGGATGCTTGGCTCCTCTAGGCTCGTGGCTTTGACAGCATGTCTCGTTCAACCGACACAGCCCATCGGCCTAAATCTATATCACACGACCCTTGACCGAAGTATCCATCCAGTGAACTCTATGCGCCAAAGCCTGCGACACATCCATGCAGTAAGTTGCTCCGTGATTCGCGGCTTGTCCAGCAATGCTGCGCATCACCAATTTAGTTTCGGGCGTGCAGCTGACAAGTCTTCCTCTCACGGAGCTGAGCGATGTGAAGGACCTGAAGCAGCACTTGAATCAGCAGCACGGCCTGCCGCCTCGCTTTAGGCAAAGGCTTCTTCATGAAGGCGCCGCTTTGGATGATGCCGTCAAGCTTGACACTGCCTTCCACCTGAAGCTTGTGGCTGCGACGTCCCAAGGCACCGACACACGAAAACGGCGCGCCGCGGGGGCCCAGCGTAGTTTCGCAGGCGATGGAGCCTCGAAGCGGCGCTTGGAACCAGAGGCTGTGCCGCCACCACGCAGACGCAAGCGGCTTGCCGAGGAGAATTTGAGAAACTTTGTCGAGCCGGACACCGTGATGGATCTGCAGGTTGTGATTTTGACATTCTCTGAGGCTTCACAGGACCAGCACAGAAAGCTATGCAGAGCAGCCGGTGAAGGCCTCGTGGCCGAGGCAGGGCATGAGGTTCTGACAACGTGAGCAATAAGAGGCACAGGAACTTACATCTTCGGAAATCCTTTATCTCCAAACTAGTAATACAAGTAGGGGTTGATTCACTTGTCACTACATCCGAATCCTAATCTATAGCTTCTGGCTTTGTAGATGAGGGAAGCCACGGCATAGCTCTCAGGTTGAAGCTCTGCTGCAGCTTGCCATTGACCCGGATGCTGTCAAGGATGAGGATGAGGATGGCAGTACGCCATTGATGATTGCGTCTGAACACGGCCACATGCATATCGCACAGTTGCTCCTTGAGGCCGGGGCTGACACGGATTTGCCTGACCTGGCTGGGGGTACAGCACTGATGCGTGGAGCGGTTAGGGGTCATGCTCCGGTTGTGCAGTTGCTGCTGGAGGCAGGTGCTGAAACGGATTTGCGCGACCATGGGGACAGTACAGCGCTGATGTGGGCAGCATGGAGGGGTGATGCCCTTGTCGTGCAGTTACTGATTGAGGCCGGGGCTCGGCATGATGTGCGTGACCCTCGGGGTAGGACCCCGCTGATGGATGCTTCAATGTTCGGCTTTGCACTGGTGGTGAAGTTGCTTCTGGAGGCCGGCGCTGACAGGCATCTGCGCGACTACGAGGGCCAGACAGCGCTGATCTTTGCGAAGAAACGCGAAGTCCGGCGATTGCTGGAGGCCAGCGCTACGACATGATCTGAGGATATCTGACGCAACGACTGCAGAGTGCTGAGGCTGAAGATCATGCCTTAAGCGAACTATATATAGTCGCTAATACATCTTCAAGTTTCAGGAGTGACGCATGTGGCAGGAAGCTTTTGTCGAAAATGGCGCGGAGTTCATCTGCAATGCACTTCTGACTCCAGGTCTCCTACCGTTAAATCAGGAACGCTAGTCGTACTCA